GTAGAAGAAACTGTAGACACGTTCATCAGACACACTTCATTTGTAGAATCATTGTCACAGTTGACATTGGCTATTTCAATCATGTCTGAAAGTTGAAACATAAATTATATTACCAATTAAAGAAAAATGTACAATCTATTTCTAAGTCAATCATGCATCAATAGCATGCAATAACATGCAATAACAACAGTTTTAAACAAATATTTTAGACATCATGCTGTCTTATTTAAAAGAAAACCAGACATTCAAACATCACTACATATGTAACTGGTACTCTATATTTATGACATTACATTCAAACTTAGCAAACAAAAAACTATATAGCATATTTATACATGAGATTAAAAACAAACCAATCATTGATATTGACACAACTACCCACATAAGAAAATCTGATAACCATATATCAAATTTTCTAAATTGACAAATACAAATTAACCAATTTAAATTGGAATCAAATATTGGTTAATTCATAAGTAGTTTGTTTTTGAGTTTATACAGATGTTTTCACAGAAAATATTGTGCGATCCACAAATAATATACCTATAATTCTATGATAAAAAAAAAACATATTTTATGTTAGGTATAGGTATTATAATATAATATCATGTAAAAAAAAAATTGTTTTTACCTGGTAAATTTAAAGTTGGCACAGCATTGTTATCCAGTCTCTGTTATGCAAAGCTTTTATAAGAAGGATCAAAATGTTTGTCACACATTACAAATGGTTTATAAACATCATCAACAGTTTTGTTCAATAATTTGTTGTTGCCAGACCTCTGTACCCAAATGTTAAACCGGAGAGGATCCTTAGGGAAACGATGTCGTCGTGTTACTTTATCAGTGTACGTGGATTCACAATTTATAACAACACAAGCGGTAAAAGGCATTTTAATTGTAACAAAGATTTATTATTAATTTATACAAATAATAAATAAATGCACAGAATACAAACACTATACACAAGATATTTCAGTAAGTTAAAAAAACAAAAGAATTAAATGAGTAAAAGAATGTAAACAATTTTAGACTTGATGTTTATAGCACAAACCAAAAAAGCAAAGTGAAAAATTTCGCACCGTTAAAAAAAATTTAAAAGCCTCTATAATATTTTAATTCGAGGTTATGTTTACTATGATCAGCAATACCAACGTCTGGGAGATTTTGTTTTTTGGTATGTTGGCATTGCGCTTGACTGATCGCCGTCACTAGCGCTCGCCACGACTGTCCTAAACACTACTTATCTGTGTATATCAGTTCCATTCTATAGAGTTACATACCCCTTTTGTACCGTCTTCTGTAGATGCTAAGTCCTGTTAAAAAGTGCATTGGATTCAGAGTGCCTTATTCCTTTATATGTTACTAAAGTAAATTTTTAATTAGAAATTTAAATAAATATGTACTGCTCCTGAACCTAAATAATAAACACATTTTAGATTTTTTTGCCTTCGGACTGCCTGTATGCAAACAATTACAAAAGGAACGAATAGATTTAAAGAACACTATAAATATTATAGAAATATTACTTCAATCATTAAGAGAAATTAGAGAAAATGATGAAAAAGAATTTAATATTTTATTTGAAAGAGTAAAATTAAGTAATTTGAGTTTCATTTTAAAGTAATGCAATGTAAGGTATACATAATAATAAATACACTTACAATATTATAATAGAATTTGGCAGATGTTATTGACACAGAAATATCAAAGAAACGTACTGCTGGAAAACAAACAAATAGAGCTAATCCCAAGTAATTTCGGTATAAGAATATTACCGAGTGTTTGTGCTGTTTATAGATAATTTTATCAGCCAACTTACTTCTCGATTTTTAAATCATAAAACAGTTTTTGAAGGTAAAGCAATTTATTGTTACCAAAGTTTATCTCAAAACTCTTACCAGTATTATTTCGTTTTATATGTTATAGGTTTTGAATGTTTGTTTAGTTCAACTTTTTCTGATTAAGAAATATAGGCATTTGAGAAATTAGTCGAATTTTATGTACAACCAATTGAAAAGGGTAATTCTTTTGTAGAAATAAAAATGTGGAAAGTTAGAATAAGCAATGTAGATGTCAATACCAAAACTGGATTTGAAGCACTTATGAGCTGTTCAAAGACAGATTTTCCAAGCATACATTTTTTAATTAAAATTTTTTTGTACATTGCTAGTATCTTCAGCCACTCCAGAAAGATCATTTTCAACCTTAAAAAGATTGAAAACTTATCTAAGATCGACTATGAATGAAGAATGTTTTTAAGAAATATTTATTTTTAAAGTTATAACATTACTATATTTGTGATTTGTTTTGTATTTAGGATAAGCTAAATGGACTGGCATTGATGTCTGTTCATCGGGACATACCCATCGACGTGGATGCAATTATTGATGAAATGGCCCTTACCCCTAAGAAATTAGATTTTGTTTTGTAATCATGATGTGTTATCACAATAAAATATTAGTTAAACTTAATTACAATAAAGAGTTAGCAGTCTATAAGTTCTTAAATGTATTTTTATACCACTTAAAATATAAATTTTAAATTGTTGTAATCACGAAAATCTTGCTGGGGGCGAAGCCCTCCACAGCTTTGTATTTTGAAAATTATCTGGACCCTCCCCATAATAAATTCCTAAATTCACCACTGTAGTGAACAGCAACGAACAAGGAACAACTGATGGATCAAGGGCCCTCAAAATTTTTGGGGAAAAGCGTGTGTAACATAATGACACATTAGAAGACAAACACGAACACGAACTTTTTGTTACGATGTTACGATGTTACGTTACGTTATCTATGCGCGTATGTGTCACCGGTTTTACAGTAACACCGTACACACTTGCACATTACAGTTACTGTGTTATGTACATACTCAGCGGATGGTGGTGTTCCATGGCCAATGGTATTATACCCGTATAAAAGAATTCCAACATCAATATTGGCAACGTTTCCTGAGGATTGGGTGATTGGAAGATCTGACTCTGGGTGGATGGTGAGTAGCACATTCAATGAATATATTTCAAATTGATTTTTTCCATGGCTGATTAAAAATAATATACAATTCCCAGTTATATTGTTCCTTGATTTTCATAAAAGTCATTTAAGTTTGGAGCTTGCTGATTTTTGTGCTGCCAATAAAATTATTTTATACTGCTTGCCTCCGAATAGTACCCACATTATGCAACCGTGTGATGTTGCTATATTATTTAAACCACTCAAAGCAAGTTGGAAAAGTGTTGTTGGAAAAAACAAGAGATCAGGAAATCCAATAACCAAAACAAATTTTGTTAATTATTTCAAAGAAGCATTCAATTCAGTTCAAACACTTCAAACTAGTTCAATTATAAATGGTTTTCGAAAATGTGGATTATATCCATTCAGTGCTGATGCAGTAGATTATTCTAAATGTATTTCATACAGAAGAAAAATACTTTATCCTACTACAAATAATGAACTAGATATTTTGACATTAGAACAGTATAAAATTACATTAAAAGTTCTAGAAAAGTATTTTGAAAAAATAAATTTCCAGCAATTTGAAAGCAAACAGCTAAACCCGCTAGTTACAATAAAAAATGTGTCAAACAAAGACAACAAATAAAACTGCCATTTGCAGTAACATCAGTCAAGTGGATAGAACATCACACACAAAAAGAAAAAGAAAAATTGAAAAAAGAAGAGGAACTAGCACAAAAAAGAAATCGACGAGAAGAAATTCAAGCTGTTAAACGCCTAAAAGTTACCAAACCAAATAAAAAAAAAACAGGACAAAAGTTGAATGAAAAAAGACCAATACATAAGTTAAGCCATGTTGAAGATGAAGAAGATGTTTATATGTTGTATATACTGCAATGAACCCTATAAATCTTCAAAAAGTGGAGAACAGTGGATCAGATGTTGTAGTTGTACTGGTTGGGCACATGAACTTTGTGCTGGATATGACAATACTGCTGCGTTTGTATGTGATATGTGTCTTTGATTTTTATAAATTACTAATTTTACATTATTATTCTAAAATTGTACTGTTATATTGTTATATTAAGATTGTTCTTTGTTTTATTTTAACTTTTTTTAACCAAGTCCAAGAAGGCATCTATTTTAACTTGTTTTTATTTTATTATTAGTTATTACTTTCATACATATTGTTTATTAATACATCTAAGATTGTTTATGTTTTTAAATATATTTCTAGTTTAAACATTTTATTTGATCAGTCCTTAGTAGGTCCAAAATAAACAGTTCTAATCAGCGGTCTTGTAAAATTACAGATATGTACTGATATACTTATTTGTAAAAGTACTTAAAATACATTGGTAGGTATTTGAATACTCATTACTTAGTAAAAAATGTTACTAAAGTGGGGATATCCTTTGGCTTTAAAAAAAAAAAAATAAATAAACATTTATTTATACAATTTTTACCATAATATGTATTTGAATAAATTATGCTGGTTATTTTAGTATTTGTATAATATTAAATGAAATATGGATGATTAAAAATAATACTATAACATGTTCAAACACTGGGTTCAAATTGTTCAATCACTAGTCCAAAGTGTTCAATTACTAGGTTTTTGTATTTTTTTTTAAATATTGTAATTGATCTATATATTGATATAAATTGCTATTATTTTATTAATACTCTTTTTAAAATAGACAAAATAAGCAATATTTTAGTTTACACTTTATAAATATGATATCAAAAACAAACGTATCAATGAATTCTGAAGGTGGAAAAATCCTTAACTGTTCAATCACTGGACGGTTTACCCAGTTCTATATAGAACTTTTGACATGATTTAAAAAACTTAAATATTTCATTTGAGTCAACAACGTTTTGGTTTTTAAAGTCGTTATCGAATCGTTAGCACTTATACCAATATAAATTTCATTTAATGGAAGATAATATTGTGACAAATTAGGAGAAACATTCACGATTGAGTCAAGGTTTCTTAAATACTCAATAGTCATAAAATTCATACTTATAGTTTTCAACAAATTTTCAATTCCAGGTTTTAGTAGATGTAATAGAGGCCCTTCCCCATGAAACAAAGTGTTGAAATTCGTCAGGAGACCAAGTGGAATATGACATGAATTCGAGGTAGAATATACTAAAGGAATTTTCTATGGTACTAAAAATTAATTCTGACGTTTTGGAGGGATCTTCAAAATTGACCAGTCTAAAATATTCTTTAAGAGCAGGAAATTGTTCTAATATTCTGTCAACACACGCTTTTAGTGACAGCCAGCGAGTTGTACATGGTGATAATATTTTGTGCATTTCCGCTTGAAAAAATTCCTGAAAATTTTTGTATTTGGATTGACGTGAATGACTTCTACTAAAATGAGATCCCACGTTTCGCAATAGATCTTCGATTGAACGTGGTAGTTTTAGAAAAGCCTTGGATGCAGAAAAATGAATCATGTGACAGGAACACTTAATACAAGCAATACCTGGTACAGCAGTTTTCAAATTTGTAAAAACAGAGTGGAATTTGCCGGCCATGGCATTTGTTGTGTCTGGAGAAAATCCAACCATCATATTTTTCTCTATCCCTTTATCTGAAGCACATTTCAGAAGAGTATCTGTCAGATCATCAGCCGTTCCTAAATAAAATAATAACTTATTAGATAATGTAATATTTAAGTGATAAATCAAAGGATATGATTTACCTGAAACTGTTTCAATCATATCCAAAAACTGAGTTTTTACAGTCATTGATTTTATATCAAAATATATGATGACAACTACACACTGTTTTATTTCAGAAATATCTGTAGTTTCATCCATTATCAGTGAGTAAAATGAACCAGGTTCTCTGAGTGTATCACACAGTTAATTAAAAAAGTTATTGCCTTATACATTTTTCATAACTGCTCTGTTGCTTTAGTTCTCTTCAAAGTCAAATTTAGAATTATTAAATATTGTACTCAGTAGAGGGGTAAGAGTGGTAAGTCGGACAATGAAAAGGGCAAATTATTTGTAGCAAAAGGGGCAGTTAGTTTCAATTCAGAAATTCTGGTTTTTTCGGTCAATGATGACATTTTAAAAACTTCATTGACCGAAGTTTGCTGGACCACTTGATTAAAATTTGAAATATGTTTGGCGGATTGTCCGTGTCTCTTAATTTCGGTAAGGTGAGGACTCATAAAAGAACTGAAAACCTTACAGTAAGCTACTTCTTTTTGTTTTATGTTAGTTTTGGTAGTAAGCCAATTTTTGTACTCTGTTATAGTTAGCCATTTTTCATTAAACTTTCTAACAGTAGGTTTTTTTTGTTGTCTGTCATGGATGGTTAAGAATCTTCTAGCTCGTGTTCAGCCACTAAACTTGAATCAGCAATAAACGAACTCAGCAAAGATTCCGGTTCATCAATGATTTCTATTTCATTTAAAATCAATGGAGTAGGTTCACTAGGTTCAGTGTCAGACACGACTTTAGGTAAAGACTTAGGTATGCCTTCTAATATACACATAATATAGCATAATATGCATATTGAATTTATGTACCTACTAAACGTCTAAAACATCAAATTACCATACACGAATATCGTATACTACCTTGATTAGGTATTTAAATATATTATATAGTTTCTAATAAATAACACAAAAAACAAAAAGCCTTCTAAATATTTATAAGCCATTAATACTGTCGAGAATAAACTAAGGATCAATCATTTATAATTCAGCCAAAGAAAATCTACTCAAAATATTAGATCCGTTACAACGAAGGTATTCGCATTTCAATAGGAGCATTCAGAACCAGCCCTATTGACATTATTTTATGCTGCTCTGGAGAGCTACCTCTCAAACTCTAAAGAGAAAAAGACATACTCATCTACAGCATAAAAAGGAAAAGCACTCCTAACCACACAGGGTACAACAATATTTTCCAAAACCATAATATAATCCCAATCAACATAACCAGGATACAAATACCACCCATACACGACACCTTCTCCCGTTTGTACACAAAGTTTAAAATTCACACATCTATTAAAAATAAAATTACTGTCCCAAAATTTCAACCTTGGCTTTGGAAAACCCACATAAATACCGAATTAACCAAGTATAACAAGCATGAAAAAAAATTTGACACGTCCCACTTCAAAGAAACCATTCCGAAAAACCTAAGCCGATTTAAGCAACAAAGACTTTTTTATTTGTTTATTTTTCCAAAATGAAAAATACAGTAACTCTGATCATATTGTATAGGACTTAAATATACTAATGATATTTTATGCTATTAAAAAAATACCTTAGGTCAGTTGACCTAAAAATAAATTTAAAATTTAATTATTTTATTTATTTAATTTTAATTTGTTTAAATCTTGACTATCGTAATTATATTGTACGATTATGTATTTGTATTTGTAGTATTGACATTTAAACATTAAATTGTTTAGTCAAAATTAAAGTATTTAGTCGATAGTTAATTTTTTTATGACGAATTTAATTTCACTGGGGCAAGTATGGTTTTATTTTTTTATTTATTAAAATATTAAATTGTTCATTAAAAATTTGTAGTTATATTTTGTCTTTGTGCTCGACCATTTTAGTTCTAACGTTTCACGTAGCAGCGCCAGAGACCTATTACCCCCTCTACTCCGAATACATATCCCGCCGATGCCTGCGCCTTCCCTTGACGGCTTGACGCTTTTCGTAATCGTTCTGAACTTCTGACGACGTTTTGTGTTGACGTGTGTTTTCCGTGCCGCTCCGTGATATATAATAACCACGTGTTATTTGTTGTAATTATAACTACAAATATTAAGTAGTATTTTATAATTTGTTTCCATTTTTCTAAAATGGATTCTTAAGTGTGTCAACACAATACAGTGTATTACTGTATTACCATGGCCCATCTATGAGTAAATGCATAATTTTACATTAAAATAAATGGCTGTTATGTAATGACACTTCAATACATTTTGAATGACGAAGGGGGAGGTAAAAATGTGTTATAATGTTATAATGTGTATATTATAATAATTAGGGATGGGCCGCTACCACTTATTACCGATATCCGATGTTCCAATATATGCTGCCGATTTAAAACCGATACCCAATAATATATGGAAATGTTAAAACAACATTTTTGACAAAAAACTTGAGCCGATACCACCATAAAACCGATACCCGATAACATATAATATTACCTAGAAAAGTGAAAACATTGATTATTATAAAATAATCTATAGTATTTGATTATTGATAACCTAACCTGTGCATTTGTGAATTATTATACTATCAATACTATGCTGATCGATAGGTTTTTTTTTTTGTATCGGTTGAAATATCGGTTTTGAAAAAAAACCGATATCGGCCGATATCTAGTATCGGTTCTAGTATCTTCCCATCCTTAATAATAATGCAAAAAAAAAAATTGAATCATATTACCAAAAAATTATACGAAACTCGTGATTGAGTCCTTCCAGCTTTCAATTAAACGCTTCAAGTACAGTGAGTTATCGATACGTGCTTTGAAACAAAATGATTCATCCACGGTCTCAGCTATAGAACATGGATGTTCAATTAAAAATTAAAGTATCAGAATTGCATTGCTTACAGGTGTAACTCCTTATTGTTAATCAATCGTATTCTAGACTATTTTGTATCTTTTACTATAAAAATAAGAAAACGTGTGTAAAAATCATTTAGAACTAATTTATAGCACTGAAGAAAAATGTTGATTTAATATAATTTATGCTGTTTTTCTCGAAATAATTATTTCAGTTTTATATTACGTTGCGACATAAAAATCAGGATGTAACATGAACCTTAATACATCTAGTAGTACCACTTTTTATTATAGTATTATAATATTTTATATAATATATTACTTTATTATAAGATACTTGTTACAACTATAACACAGTGATGCAACACTTAAAACACAGTGTACTGGAAAAACGAAGAAAACTCCATAAATTAGGGTGTCTGTGCATTTGAGTGCAGCATGGAAAGACTCCCAGTTATGTTGTAATGCTGGAGAATTGCTTGCTCTGTCTGTGGTCTCAAATACTTTGAACTGCATTATAGCTGTCCACATTATAATCACTGGAATGATAGACCCCATCATATCATTGTGAAAATCAACGCTATACAATGTATTTTTTTCAAAGCTAGTACACATTTTTAATGTTTCTTTAACCTGAACAACTATAATTTCAAACCGAGAGGAGAACTTGTAATCTCTATACCAATAAAACGTCTTAACACGTTCACTGCGGATCATATTACAATACACATTCAAATGTGCGGGAGCAATTGAAGGTTTTTTTTTCGTTGACGCCAATTATTGGCGTCATCCGCACCATATACACTTTGTTTTTATCTAATGCTGATTGACGCCAATTGGCGTCATGGCAAATTTGTTATGCTATATACCAAAAAGTTACTCACAAATATCATACCAAATTGTTGCTTTATTACTTATTATTTTATAATGCAATTAAATTAATAAATAACTAAAAGTAAACATGTACTTCTAATTTAATAAATTGAAAACATCGTTATTTCTTATTATTTTAAAATTAAATTAAATAGATAAATAAATAAAAGTGAACATGTCATTATAATTATTGAAAAAAAATGGAAACTAAGACTATTTATGGTAGTTTTTGAAACAAGGTTGATGACATAGACTGGGCTTTTCCGGACAGCTTGGACAGAAGTATGTTGTATCTTTTCTTATCCCTTTGGAATAGCATAGATTACATCTTTTTCTATTAGGTCTTCCAGATTTTCCAACATCGTGAGTTTTTGGGAAATGATTAGTATGTGATAATGAAAAAGATCTAGGCTTTGGGTTTTTCGGTAAAAGTTCACCAAGTATAGATAACCGAAAATCATACAATGATAGTTTAGGTCCAGCGTGATATTGATTATATAAATAAAACGAGTTCATCAATAACATTTGTATTATATGTATACCAATTTTTTTATACCAACGGATTGTTTTCCTAGTAAATGGATAATAGCTATGCATTTGGTCTTGCCGATCAACTCCACTTATAAAACGGTTATAATTTGATATAGGTTCAGGTTTAAATTGTTCTTTACCGTTTCGGTTTTTGGTAAGAATTAAATTATTTTTAAATTCAGTGGAAATATAACCAACATCTCTCTTATCTCTCCACTTTCCAATCATAACTCCTTGAGAGTACCTGGAAATGGTTTCACCTTTTTTTAATTTTGACTCTACAACATCCTGTGGTGTATTTTTTCTGTTCAATCTTAACGTACCAGTGCAAAACGTTTTTTGATGGACCTGGTTCATTCAATGTATAATCCATGATCATATAAGTAATACGAAAGTAAACGAAATAAATAAAAAAAATCGTTGTAAAGAAATAAAATGGATACAATTTAACACTAAAATGTATAAAAACGATACAATGTGAATACGTACGTGTTTCATCAACGACCGACGATGGAAAAAAGATTGCCACAATAATGAATTTCTTTAAAATACCGATGATTAACTTGATAAAGGAGTGGTAAAAATCCCATAATAAATTAAAAATAAAATGAACTAAAAATAGAAATATTGTTGTGCGATTGCACACACGTATTAACTAATATGTATAGATAACGCTGACCGAAAATGAGAATTTTGACCGTAACGCTGACTAAATTATAGTGTATTAAAAAATAGTGTGCAGATGACGCCATTTGGCGTCATCCGCATAATATGTGAACCATGCTAAATGACGCCAATTGGCGTCATCCGCAGTGAACGTGTTAACATCTCTTATTTGTTCATTTAATGCTTTAATGCAACATTTTTTTGTTTTGTGATAAGATAATCAACTAGACTACTTGGATTTTCGTGGCTGAGCTGCTTCAAGGTATCCATGGCATCATCCACATCTACAGTCTTGCAGGGTGACAACAACACCGTTGTTACTGCAGCGAACCATTTGTTCAGACATTCCGTGGTGGTTATGTTGAAACACAGATACTATAGATAAGGTACTCGCGTTATCGGGTGAAGCATTATCAACGCATGGTTGCCATTTTGTTGGTTGGCAAAACATTATAATAATTTTCGACTTTCGTTTCATGCACAGTAAAGTGAATCTGATGGTTCATGTTCATTATTTAAGTATTTTGTAAATGTAAATACGTTACATTTAAGCTGATTTGTATGTTACATTAATTGTAGTAATTATGCCAGTATCTTGTGTGGCATATGGATGTACCATTAGGTATAAATCCGGTCAAAATGTTCATTTTTTTCGGTAAGTTCAATTATATGTATTTAAAATTAAATAAACAATTTGGTACCTATAATCATAATTTATAATACATAAATGTAATAGTTTCTATGAATCATTGATATCTGTTATATTATACTAATTTTATAATATTCCTCTGTATTCGTCTGTATTTCATTATTTTACAGATTTCCTTTGAATAATGAAAATGTAAACCAAAAGTGGATTATTGCATTGAGACGAAAAAATTTTATACCCTCTCAATGGAGTCGTATATGCAGTATTCATTTTATTGACAGTGATTATGAAATAAGACCTGGAACCATTAAACCACGTTTAAAAATTGATGCTGTACCATCAAATTTCCCATCTTTTCCTTCTTACCTTCAAAAACCTGCCAAATGTCCTCGAAAAGAACCTGCAAAAAGAAACTATACACCAATGGAAGTTCCAATAATTGATACCGGTTTGTATTTAAATTTGATCTATATCTTTAATTAATAAATATTTAAAATTATTAAGCTTTAGATCTTGAAGTAGATGACACTAAAATATTGGTTGAAAATAGTGATGATATTCTAAAAATAAATTCTGTTGCTGATAAAGAAGTTCAAACATTAGAAAATTATGCAGATGAACTTTTCTTAAAAAGTAAAATCAAGAAATTACAACAAAAATTAAGAAGAAAACAAAACAAAATAAATAATTTAGAAGATTTACTGAAGGACCTAAAGTGCAAAGGCTTAATTGATACTGAACCAGGAAATATTATAGAAAATTGTTTCAGTGGTAATATTTTTAAATTATTCTTAGAAAAATTGCATTGCTTAATTTTTGCTTGATATATATATATTTGCATGCATGCTAATGCTTGTTAGGCACCATTTTGGATTTATTTAAAAATGAAATGAAAAATAATAATAAAGTAACTGGTGCACGATATTCAACAGAAATGAAACAGTTTTCTTTAACTTTGTATTATTACTCTCCAAAAGCTTATAATTTTTGCAGGTAATTAAATTATATCTATAGCTAGCTTATTGCTTATGTTAAGCATACATTTTATACTATGATATAATACAATTTTTTTTTTTT